AGTGGGAACCAATATCCTCCAGGATAATGACAGCCAGGTTCAACTCAAAAGGAAAAAAGGTTACAATCATTCAATGCTATGCGCCTACAAACGTCTCATTAAAAGAGAAGAAGGAGGATTTCTACAGTCAACTACAAACAGTAATGGACAACGTCCCAAATGGCGATATCAGAATCCTGATGGGTGATATGAATGCGAAACTGAGAGGAGACTATACGGGAAGAGAACTCACCATGGGTCGTGAGGCCCTCGGTGAAATGAACGACAATGGTGAACTCTTCTCATACTTCTGCACATTCAATGATTTGGTGATTAGTGGCAGTGTGTTCAAACACAAGGATATACACAAGGCGACATGGATTTCACCAGTTGAGTTCAGAATGGAACAAAGAAAATCAATAGCACATCTCCATTTCACTATGTTCTCAGAAGTCCTCGTTATCTGACTCTATGATTGTCCATTAGCTCTATTCTCCTTCTCATATGATCTCCTCAGTGTTAGTCTTGGCTACTCGCCCAACTTGTCTTTTCTCTTTAGGGTTGCAGTTGACAGCCTGGAGTGTGATTTCACTAAACGCTTTTTACAGTGTATGCCTGTGTGTGTGTGTCCAACACATCTTCATTTCCGTCTGCACATTTATTTTACGATGGTCTGGTGATTAGTTTACTGCCAGAGTTCCGTGTTCCTTGATTATCCTTTCTGACCATCCATCTAATCTTCAGTATCGAGTTACGCATTCAGCAGGTTTCAACGCTAATTTCAGAATAATGAAGACCTATCCTGCCTTTCCGATTGTGTTTGGCTTCGACATCCTCATCTCTGCCACCTAGTGTGGAAACCACATTGTCTACGTAAAAGAAAGACGTGTCTTCCTTCAGATTTCCTCCGTTGATGGTGATTGATGAATGTTGTGGTTGTTGGATATCTCCATCACCTTGTTTTGTCTATGTTCAACTGACGTCCTGTGTTGGCTGCTTCTTCTGCCTGTAGACCTTCGACCTTGTGTGGCATTAAGCCCCGACCAAAAGCTGCTACCTTGACGTGGTGGTCGGACTTGAACACAGCAATGACCCAACAAGCTATACTGGCTGGAACTTATGTTCCTGTAGGTCCTACCATGCCAGAAAGGTTGTTTGGATAGCGGTTAGACAAAAAGCAGTTACCCAACCCAATCCTATGACTCAAAGTAAATCACAAAATATCATACCGGATCGGTCAGGGCCCGGATTAACAACGACCGCGCTTCCTGCTGCCGTGTCACAGGGCAGAAGTGATAAATATGCTACTGAGACACATCAAATGAAAAACAACAAACAAAGACAGGCTGCGTGTGACCGGCCTCAAGCAGTCGTCCCCTGGGCTCTGCGGTCATGCAACCAACTTCCACGGTGTGGGCAGCCGGGAAGTAACAATCGTCTTCACAGTCCGAAGTGCACGCGAAACCTCTCTAATCCTCACTCATCTTTGTGTTCATCTTCATCTCTATTATCTTGCCTTCCTTCTACTAATGCAACTCCTCTACTTGATGGCTCTCCACTTCCTCTTCACTTTGTGTGCACTGAAAACGACGGAAGCCAAAAAACCACCACCGATAGTCTGTGTTGAATCCAGCCAGCAGCACTAAGCACAAATCATCTGCGAAGCCTACATTACCCAGTATCCTTCCGCTTCAGACTACCTGTAGTTTGATCTAGTCGATGGCAATCAGGAATACCATCACTGGTAGTAGACAGCCTTGTCTTACTCATGTCTTCACTTCAAAGACTTTATTGAGCTTTCCGTTTTGAAGCTAATCGGAATCATACCTTCTAAAATCTTTACCTACACTACTGCCAACTTATTAAACAGACTTAGTGGTCTACATTAACCTGTACACACACACATACACACATACACATGTGTGCGTCGATGGCACAGTGGTTAGGACTCTCACCGACCATGCACATGGTCCGGGGTTCGATCCCCTGCCGGCGCACACCCGATATCTATGGTCGGCCTGTAAATTGGGCTACCGATATCCATGCTGAAAATTCCATACTTGTACTGAAAATACGGTGTGGAATCAAGCTGTAAACAAAATATAAAATAAATATAAAATATATGGATATCAAAAATGAGTACAACATGAAATTTAAATATAGACAACAGTTATATATATATATATGTGTACAGATTTTTATATTAAGATAGATAACAACACTTATTTTATTCTACCATTTTTAATATTTTACCTATTTATGTTATTATACACAACACTTAATACATGACTTACTCAATTGGATAAGAGATAATCGAGGTAAGGACAACCATAAAGTCTAGCATATTATTTGCACTTCGACAAAATGCACCCTTATGTAATACCAAACCATAGGTGATTATCTAATAGAGAAGGATTATAATACAAACACATATATATATATATAGATATTATAGCATACAGTTCAATGAAAAATCACTTATAGACAATAATGCATTAATTACAACATACTATGGAGTTAAAACGTTCTATCTCCCGCGTGAAGTGGTAGAATAAGGTGAGCAATATTGAGGTTAGGCATCGGTCGAGTGCTAGATAAGGCGGGGAAATCAATCGACGAGGCTGTGAAATTACATCGACTGAGATGGTTAGGACCTGTATTACGTATGCCTAGTCATCGCGTTCCTCGACGGACAATGTTAGCTGACTGGGATAGGATCAGGCTGTAAAAGAGCTAGCGGCGGTCAAACCAAAACATGGCACCAGTCATTGAAATCCACAACAGTTAGCTTAAGCCAGCCACGTAGGAAGGTGTAGACTTCCTGACTGGTTGGGGTCCTCGGGACGGTAAAAACCAATGGTTGGAAACAATTGGTGACATGGCTCAAAATCGTTCTCAATGGGTGGCGCAGATGCATCCACTCCTTGTGACTTATGATTTCCAATGAAACTATATTGTTCTTCATTATTATTATTCCTTTGTCTCTCACCTCTGTTTACTGTCTCTATTATGCATTTCTTCTACTTTCTTCTCTTGCTTTGTGTGCTACAAGGAGGGAGTGTGGCGACTTGAACTGGCGCACATATGTGCAAAGTTCTATGTCGAAAACTGACCGACTGACCGATGGAGTTAAAGCATTGTTTACAAAAATGAGTTAAGTTTAGCCCGAGAATTTCTGAAGGTCAGAGGGTTCCATCATGAGCTGACATCGGTTAGAGAACCACTGGACAGCTGTTTCGTCCCAGTCTGGGACTCTTCATCGGTACGCACCTACCGGGGTGCTTGAAGTTTCTAGCATGGATGTGTGTATGTGTATATGGGTTTGTGTGAAGCAATCCAAGTCAACAGATGAAGATTCAGTTTGACACTGATGTTGTTGTTGTTGTTGTCATTTGAAATTTGTGTTGTAGGCTACCAGCCAGACTCTTAACGTGAGGTCTGATGTAGCTACTCAATTGGTCAGGCTGAATTAGCCTTTGAAGGACTCGAACCCGGGGATATCCTACTGAAATTTGAGTGCACAAGTGAATGATCTGCGTTTACACGAATGTGATAAAGCTAAAGCAAATCTTCGCTATGATAATATGCATACTATGCTTATCCACAGAGTTCTTCGTTGGTATTTAAGTTTCTATGTATTACGACAAGACGATCTTGTGATGAGATGTGTTACAGTTGTCAGTTTGCTCACGAAAATTACGCTCAAATGTGGAGAACCAGATGAGAAGAAAGAGTAAACATTGAGCCAACATAAACCTCTGTTGAGAATCAATATCAAGTAAAGAACCAGTGAATAGCAATGAGCACAGGATGGCTGTTTCGTCAGAGTTTGGTATCCTTTAGAAGTGAGTACCGGTGACTCCACTGGAGATCGAACCCAGGACCTTTAGGTTACAAGACCAGTCCATAATTTTCAACCTAGTGAATAAATCTGTTACCGAATACCTGTGTTATCCGAAATACGGATAGAAAATGGATGATTTCGAAACAGTCAGGCTAATGTATGAATTGAACAAGAAACACAGAGATGAGGAATACAAGGCCAGCATGCACATACTAGTCATGATATTCAGCAGACAAAAAAGTCTTTCCAAGGAACTTCCAGGCAGCAGTCTCGCAAAACAAGATAGATGTGAACAAATTAAACATTTAAAATGAAGGACGGTGATATGGCTGATGGCCTTGCTACCACTTGAAGTACTTAGAAGTTAGCACCTGTGTCAAATCAAATTATTATTATTGTTTCCTTTAATTCCTAGAGGAACATAGGGCTTTAGACGTGCGTCTCCACTGAGTTCGGTTCTCTGCTAGAGTCTTCACCTGTCTCCACGTCTGCCCACACGTTTTCATCTCCTCTTCACGTGACCTCCTCCAAGTCACCCACCCTCTCACTGACGACCAACTCGCCGCTTCCCTTTCGGCCAGGTTCCACTCGAGCAATGGCTTGTCTAGTGATGTCACTTGATGGTTTCTCAGAGTAAAGCCAATCCATCTCCATTGCTTCCTGCCTATTTGTTTCACAATCGGTTCCTGGTTGGTTCGCTCCCAGAGATCTCTGTTGCTGATCAAATCAAATGTTTTGTACATAACCTAGATATCACAGTGATATAGAGTGACGAAATCAACTAGAAACACACTTGTCACAATTACACCATTTGAATGTCTCAAATAGCATGTTTAATTCGTCGATGTAAGTGAAATATGTATTTAAAAAAGTTCTTATTGGAAATTCAAACAGTATTTAGGCATTTTAGTCACACCTGAAACATCTTGACGGTACAGATATATAGATTCTTTTGGAGTTGTCTCTGAGGTGATTTTATTAGTTGAGCTGAGTTGATTCAATCTGGATACACTGTTAATGAGCCCGAGCTTAAACGAAGGAAACAGCCATTCTTTGTTTAGATTCTTTAGGTTCGATTACTGTCTATGGTTCAGTGGATGAGTACTCGCCAACCACGCACGAAGTCCGGGAATTGAATACTTTTGGTTTTCATGGGAAACTCTATTGAATTCTTGCCTTAAAAGTGTACAATTTGCAAATGATGAATAAGAAGAGTACAACCACACTGTGGTATACTCGAAATTATTTTATCAAGTTCTCTGAAATGCTTATCTCGAAGAATTAGACCCTAAGATAGGACTGAGTCGTCTCCTGTTATATTCTACCGATTGTCTACTCCTGAATGTTCTAGCAAAAAACAGAGACTGATATTGAACATTCAATCATCTTTTGGTTTCATACAATGATTCCCTTTTATAAATTTGAACAAAGAAAGAAGAAACATTGGCGCGCAGAATAATCTGGATCCATTTTATTTCGTCGGTTCTCATCAGCTGCGTACAACCTGAATTCTCTAATAAAATAAAAATAAAAAGTGTACAATTTTAACAAACTTTTGTCCATTAGCGAGCATATTGTCAGAGCGTCATAGTGAAATAAGGCGTTACGAATTACTAGGTGTCTAAAGCGTTACGAAATTAATTAACAGTTGTGTTGTTGGGGTGGTAACAAAAGAAAATTAGTAATAGTTACGTAAATAGATAAAAGATCAAAATTTCGGTGCACATGAGGTCAGATGAGAAGTTGATGATGTAATATAGTGGGAAAAACTCAGAAGATCAAGAAATATTATCTTTTAAGAGAGTCAAGCGAAACATAAAGGGGGAGGGGTGGAGTGAAAAGATAAGTTAACAAAATTAACAAAATTAGAAAACAAATAGTTACTAAGAGGTGAGTCACCAGGGTAATTGAAGTCCAACAACGGATTCTTTTTGGACACATAAGTCAGGCTTCAATCGTTTTATTGCTATAGCTTCAGCAAACTTGAGAAGACTTGAGGTACTTTGTCTGTTAATTATTTTGAATGATTGCAGCACATCTACTCGGTGCTGTCCTGTGTCAATCAGGTGTTTGGCGATTGAAGAGCTTAAACAATTTGGTCCCTTTAAATGGAGGCTCCTTGGTACATGTTCGCAGAATCTGACGTAGGCCCTCCTCTTTGTTCTTCCAATGTCACTGCTCCCCTAGATACATATGAATTCGTATACATGTGAGGGGTGCTTGTCAATCTTTGACTGCACCAAGAAACTTCTCTCTAACAAGATATATATATTTCGTAACACTTTAGACACCTTGTAATTCGCAACGGCTTATTTCACTATGACGCTCTGAAAATATGCTCGCTAATGGACAAAAGTTTGTTAAAATTGTTCACTATTTTAAATTTTATCAAAGAATTCAGGTTGTATGCAGCTGATGAGAACCAACGAAATAAAATGGATCCAGATTATTCTGCACGCCAATGTTTCTTCTTTCTTTGTTCACATCTTTTGGTTGTTTCTTCAACTACTATTTTATCAACACTCAAATAGTTACCATAAGAAAAACATGTCATGAGGAATTCCCATCTACTGATATCAATTTAACTAACCTTCAAGGTGATTTCTACCGTGAAGACTGATGTGAAAAAGTAATCGAAGTAGTTCAAAATCTGTTAAAAAGAAAAAGAAAAAAACACAAAATCATATGAAGCATTTCTGTTGTAAGAGTAGATAGGATTTCGTAATAGTGCTGTAGAATGTAATTGAGTGATATTAAATAAGTCTATTTAATATAACATACAGTAAGTGACACAGTGTATTAATATCTGGATAACGTTTCCAGTTATTCGATGGTCGGAGGTGATTGGCAGGAAGCCCCCACTTAAGTTCCGTGCTTATAGACAATGTTGATATTTTTAGTATTTTTAATATATTTATGCGTTGAAGTTTCTGTAGCAGTTTGGTTAAGTTTTGGGGGTGGAGTTGCTAACACCACGCCTCAACCCTCCCTCTTTATCCGGGCTTGGGAACGGCTATAAAACTAGCGAACTAGTAATCTAGGCGATCAGCAACTTGGCCAGTGTGTCACAAAGAATATTTCCAACAGCCTGTTGCAGACCTTTATCAACAACTAACTGTCTTCGCTCTATACTCAAGATCAGATGGCCGGAAAGAATCGCCGACAAGAAATTATGGGAACAAACGAAAAAAGAACCAATGGCTCAACAAATATGCAGGAGAAAGTGGAGATGGATTGGACACTCGCTGAGGAGGCCGCTGGGTGACATCACGCGTCAGGCCAATGCTCGAGTGGAACCCGAAAGGGAAGCGGCGAGTAGTGGGATGTCCAAGGGTGACATGGAGGAGATCGTGTGAAGAAGAGTTGAAACATTATGGACTAACATGGATGCAGGTGAAAAGTACAGCAGAAGACAGAAGCAAGTGGAGACGTGTGGTTGAAGCCCTATGTTCCACCAGGAACCCAAGGGAACAATAATAATAATTATTATTATTGACAATGACCAGTCAGCAAGGCCTATCTGCAATCTTGAAGGAACTAAGGTCCTTTCTGAGATTCGAACCCGTGTCACCCAGAGAACTGCATTCACAGACGCAACCGCTGAGCTATTAAGACTCGCGATTGACCTCCTGTAGGTGACTCTACTGGATACTTTGATTGGCCGCTTCTAGTTCTTGAGTTGGTACAAATTGGATTCTATCAGTCAAGTTTGGAATGTGGTCAACATTCTAGGTGGCTCACCATCATGGTAAACTTTGCATTGTTTTTGTTGTTATCAAACAAAGTAACTACACGCATGCTACTAGTTACCAACTCGTGTTCAATCAAAAAAATATGTTTCCAGTAAAATTTATTGCCCATAATTTCATATATTAGTATATTCTAATGACTTTGTGACTTGCTTCATACAGTTTCTATCGAATACAACTATTCATATCTCTGGTATAGTTGTTGCGTCATCCCTACTACATATATTGTCTGTTAATTCAATAAAACATAGATAGATAGATAGATTCAGTTATTAACCTATCCCTTCATCTAATACATATCGCCTTTCAATACTTTCACTCTATCCCTCAACGCCAACTCCTACCACCCCCCCTTCACGCCCCCATCTCGTTGCGTGATTACATACAAGTGCATGCATTGCAATTGCCTAGGAATGACGTAAAACAAGTTGTGTATACATGGAAAATTGGATTGAAATACAAGAGAGGCACAGAGAGAGAGATTAGGGGTTAGGAAATCATGTGAATACACTGATTGATATATAAGATTATAGTATGAGCAATAAGCTGTACTCCAGATAAACGTCATCCGGTTAGTATTTTATACTACTGTATCACTCCCTCTACATATAAATTTATCCCAAAGGAAAGGAACAACAGCAGTACAGAAAGTGAAAAATTACACAACTAGGTAAGCAGTGCTTCCTCTGGGAAAAGAGAAAACAGAACAACAACAGCAACAGCAACTACAGCAAAACAATGCATAACAATTAGCTAAAATCTCATGATTGAAATACACCCACGAGACAGAGTAATGATTATTATTATTATGGCAAAGCCGGACAAGATTTATGTAGGTAGAATGTAATACTTTCATTTGCAGAAAAAAACCCAAATGCAATTGACATTTAGATAAATCATAAATCTTAAAATTGATTTCATATTCTTTCTAAATTGGGTTTTATTCATCCATTATTCAGGTATTAGACGTGTTTTGTATTGGGTTGTCAGTTGTTAATTAGATTTTGCCTCACAGTTGTAATCCTTCTTCTTCTTCAGGTGTTTTACTTTTCAGAGGCTTCTCCACCAACAGAAACGTGACTGTGCATACTACTCAGACCATATCATGAGTAGTATAAGTGTCAGTAGGAAGTTGAACTCCTGTAAGGGATTGTAGCTTACATTCTCTATCACAGCTTCATCATTTATAAGACGATAAAGGCTCAGTTCTACTATATCAGCTTACGTAAAACTACTACACAATTATCATTATTATTATTGTTCCCTTGGGTTCCTAGTGGAACATAGGGCTTCAACTAAACATCTCCATTTGCTTCTGTCTTCTGTTGTACTTTTCACCTGCATCCATGTTAGTCCATACTGTTTCATTTCCTCTTCACACGATCTTCTCCAGGTCACCCTCGCCGCTTAACTTTCGGGTTTCACTCGAGCACTGGCCTGACGAACAATGTCACCCAGCGGCCTCTTCAGAGAGTGTCCGATCCATCTCCAATTGTTGGGTGATTGGTTCTTGTTTTGTTTCTTCCCATAGTTTCTTGTTGGTGATCCTTTCCTGCCATCTGATCTTCAGTATAGAGCGAAGACAGCTGTTGATAAAGGTCTGCAACAGACTGTTGAAAATATTCTTTGTGACATGCCAAGTTTCTGATCCGTATAGAAGAACTGACTGACTTGACGTTTGTATTGAAAATCCGAATTTTGTTGTTGTTGATGCTGAGGAGTGACGAAGATTTCCAGATTGGTTTCAGGTGGATGAATGTGTTTCTCGCCTTCTTGATTCTCGATTTGACATCCACGTCCGTTCCTCCTGTAGTTGACACAATGCTCCCTAGATAAGTGAATGAAGTAGCCTCTTTCAAATCCCTCCCGTTGATGGTGATTGGCGGTGGATGTTGCTGGTGTTGTTGTTGTTGGTTGGTTATTTTCATAACCTCCATCTTGTCTATGTTCACCTGGAGTTCTGTCTTTGCTACTTCTTTGACCAGTTTGTCGGTTTTCGCTTGTAAGTCTTCGATTTTGTGTGACATCAGACATAAGTCATCCGTGAAATCCAGGTCTTCTAGGTCCTTCATGTTGATACTACTAATATTTTTTCTGGCGTGTCTATCAGTGTAGTAAATTATTTTCAAGATATTTATATTTGATGGATTAAGAGTGAAACACTGTTGGCAAAATCGAATGAGCAGTATAGTGTATTTGCTTCTTTTTTCTGGCCTCTTTTTGGTTAAAGTGAAAAAAACATTTTCACTAGTTACTTTGGTTCCTGATGTATATGTAGTCTAGAAATAACAACAACAACAGGCATAGAACTGCCATGGGACACGTATCCTGCAACAAAAGCAGAAGTCTTGAATGCAATCAAGTTGCAGAAGTCTGCGAAGGCAGCAGGACTAGACTGGAAGCAATGAAATGTTATCCAGCGGTCACAACGGATATGCTGATGCCAGTGCTGCTGAATGTTTTGAAGGAAGGAAAAGTACCCAGCGACTTACCTGATTACGTGCAGATGAAGCGTCTAACGGGTCTTCGGCTGCAAGCATAGCACTACTGACCAATATGCATACAAGGACAATATTATTGAAATAATTATGATTGCAAACTTCATGGCAGGCTACACGAAATCTGATTTTTTTTAAGAAAAGAATTGTAACAAAAAGAGAAAAAAAACAGAATAACGGCAAGAAAACAAACGATTAGAAAATTACAAAGCATAGTGTAAGGTATTTTGAAATCTGAATGAGTTCACAATTATTATGAGATTTTCAAGTATTGGTTTTGTAGGGATTTAGTTTGATTGCATGTAGGATTTCAATAATGAGCTGACATCAGTTAGAGAACCACTGGAAAACCATCTGGGAGTACTGCACAGCTGTTTCGTCAAACTAGTTTGGGACTCTTCAGCAATATGCACCCGCCGGGGTTTGAACCCAGGACCTTCTGGTTACAAGGCGAGCTCATAGACCATTGAGCCACTGGGGCCCTATACAGGCAGTTAACCTAGGGTTACAGTGAAAAGCCGTGACCAGTAGGGTACAGCAAGTTGAAGATGAGGCAGTAACTCATCAAAGAAGGCATTGCGAATTGGTCGCGCTATGTCGTGAATTGGCAGAAGTTAGAATTCGTGGACGTGCCATTTGGTCGGGTCCCAGTGGCTCAATGGTCTACCAGCTCGTCTTGTAACGAGAAGGCCGTGGGTTCGAACTCGGCAGTGTGGGTGCATACTGATGAAGAGTCCCAAACTAGGACGAAACAGCTGTTAAGTACTCCCAGGTTTTCCAGTGGTTCTCTAGCTGATGTCAGCTCATGATGAAATCCTATTATGAGATTAATCCATGGTCGTGCTCATTGTCAGAGTGTTAAATTTTAGTCACCGGTGTGAAGAGGACTTGCGTGAACTGATCGACAGCAATGTAGTAGAAAATAAATCGAAAATTACCAGTTGTATTATCTGTTTCTACTCTAGGCTTTCTCAGTCGTCTCAAATATTGTTGATGTCTAAGAAAATCATTCATTTGGCTTATTATATAGAGAAGTTGAAAATTTATGGCTTAACTCGGCCTCTCCTCTTACAACTAGTTAATTCATGTAGTCCATCCACCCTTCTGTATTGTTCCTCCTTATCCTTTTCTGGGCTTCTCAAAAAGGACTGTATTATATTGCATAGGGCTTTGAGGCGGTAAGCCAGGGTTAGTGGTTTGGCTTTAAATCAACTAACTGACACTTATTTAATTCATTTTAGATTTTTCCCGTCGACTGCTGATTGGACCTAAGTACTCGGTGTCAGGTTAACATATCCGCCGCTCTGTATGCAGATGCTTCGACGATGTTTGGTCATGTTAGCTGAAGTCAGTTGGAATATGGTGACTAGCAGTAGAATCCAGGATGTACATTTCGTCCGATTAGGGACTCGTCAACTGGATGTACCTGCATTTCTCTGTATCTAGCTAGCTGTCGTAGTCTAGTGGATAACGCTTTTGGGTATGAAAGTAAGGGCTCTGGGTTTGAGTCTCGGTAGGAACACCATGACTCACAGGTGAATGCAAGCACACCCAGTGACGAGTCCCAAATTGGGCGAAATGCACATCCTGGATTCCATTGCTAGTCATGATCAACCAACCGACTTCAACTAACTGACAATGTGTTGGTGATTAACATTTTAATTCTTGCAAGTAATTTTGTCGAATAGTGAACATCCTCTTTATTTTCATCTGTCCCTTAATATCCAGAAGAAATTTCGTAAGAATTTAGGCTTGTAAAGCTAAATGCAAAAATTCAATCATTCCAATTTTAGTGTGGGTGAAAATAAACAGCAACTTATTTGTAGCACTATTATCACACATAAGATTTTCTCAATAGCTTCAGTTTCTACTGTTTTATTATTTTCATCGCAGTTGAAGAGTTGCAAACTAGGGCGAAACAGTTGTCCAGTACTCCCAGTTAGTTTTCCCGTGGTTCTCTAACTGATATCAGATGGTGACCAATCCTGTAGCCAATCAAATCCCTGCAAACTAACACTTGACAATATTTTATTCTGTTTTCCATCCAGAATAATGTAATAATTATGCTAACATTTCATTGTTACTTTAATAAACCAATTACATCCTCTAATCGTAACCATTTAGCTGACATAGGGTCAGACTGGAAAAGAGCTAGCGGCGGTCAAACCAAAACATGGCTTCATCAGTCAATGAAATCCACAACAGTTAGTTTAAGCCAGCCACGTAGGAAGACGTAGACTTCCTGACTGATTGGAGTCCTCAGGACGGTAAAAACCAATGAAGGCTGGAAACAATCGGTGATATGGTTCAAAATCGTTCTCAGTGGTTGGCGCAGATGCATCCACTCATTTTGACTTATGATTTCCAATGAAACTGTTTTGTTCTTCGTTATTACTATTCCTTTGTCTCACACCCCTGTTTACTGTCTCTATTATGCATTTCTCCTACTTTCTTCTCTTGCTTTGTGTGCTACAAGGAGGGAATGTGGCGACTTGAACTGCCGCACATCAGTGAAAAGTTCTATGTCGAATACAGACAGACAGACAGAATCGTAACCGGTCTTTTTTCATTCCTTAGCTTTTCAGTTGGGATATACAGCTTTAAACTTAAGGTATGAAGTCTCATTAGCAGTGGTGTTCCATTTTACGGGATAGCAATGCTAGACTGACGTCTAACCCCCCTCAAGCCCTCAGCTCTTTTCCGGGCTTACTACCAGGCTTAACGAGGTTAAGGAATGCATCGGCCGAGAACTGAACGTGAGTGACATGTAGAGTAAGTGAGGACGCTACTTTTGAACCACTGCTGCGCCAAGATAATATGAGTTAGAATATTTGGGCATCTATCCCAGTACTGTTTGCATGCTAAGCCAGAGAGAGCTCTATCATAGTTGGGGGGTGTACCGCCACTTAAACCCCTGGAGCATCGTAACGCGTACTTATAAACATTTTTACATAGTCTCCAATCCACTGGTATGTATTTTACCAAAGTGAAGAATGCAGACTCTAGCAGATGATTGAATCATGGTTCAAATCGAAAAGAAACTGAGACACATGACCCTTGCAAAATCGATGATGCTGATATAGAAACCAAGTCTGAAGTTAAGTATCTTGGTTTAATTCTCTCTTCTGACCTATCCTGGTGCTCCCATGTCTTAGCGATTTCTAAAAGAATATTTCGTTTGACTTTTTACATTAAGAAGTTAAGGCATTCAGGCATAACTCAACCACTCCTCTTACAGTTTATCAACTCGTGTATTTTACCTATTCTTCTTTACTGTTCACCCTTATTCTTTCCTGGATTGCTTAAAAAGGACTATGTCATACTTCATAGAACTCTGAAGACTGTCAGTCAGCTGGGTGAGTGGTATCCCATTGGGCCATATTGTTGGCATTGTCACCGATAGGCACCTGATGTCATGCAACACATTTGCTAAAGGAATTTTGTCAGACTCTAAGCACCCACTCTACTTGCAGCTCCAACCTTTTGTCTCTTCAGGTAAAACAAGAAGTCTTTTCAGAAGAATTTATGCACGTACGTCTAAGTATAAAAATTCCCCTATACCATATTTGATGGCACGTACTGTATGTGATGAAAATAGTGTTAGGCATGAACTAACTAACCTTCTTTGCACTACTAAATAAACCATTTCCTTCACCCTTAAAGCATCATACTTTATTGTTATTGTAATTCTTATATTTATAATCCTCTCAATTTTTTCGTTTTGTTTATTTTATTTTTCATAAGTGTGGACATAATTTTAAGCTGTATTAAGCTGTTAATTTTGTATTTCCGCTCACTATACTATATCAACAGAACATTAGATTCAATAATCTATAACATGATAAAATTTCCAAACTGAATCGACAATACCGTTTGAAACAAACTCACTGTTATTATTATTAATATATCTAATAATTATGTCGTAAATGTGGACGAATTCCTCTGGTTAATTTTGTTTTATCTTATTTATATTTTGAGTAAATCAGATGCAAGTTATTGTGACAAATGCTGAGAATTCCATTCTGTATCATAAGTACTGTTTTTGGAATAAAGTAAATTACTATTAATTATTATTATTATTACCGTTGATAATTAGTCTACCTGAAGATCCTGTCCAAAGAGTGAATACTTTTCAATAAAACATGATGGCAATACTTTCTAACCGTATATAAACAACACATTATACAAAATAAAGCAAAAATTCAAGTGTTGGTTTGTAGGGATTTGATTGGTTACAGGATTTTCATCATGAGCTGACATTAGTTAGAGAACCATTGGAAAACCTGCTGGGGAGTACTGGACAGCTATTTCGTCCTAGTTTGGGACTCTTCATCAGTACGCACCCACCGGGATTCGAACCCAGGTCCTTCTGGTTACAAGGCGAGCTCGTAGACCATTGAGCCACTGGGAACCGATCCAACGGCCCATGAATTCTAACTTCTGCCAGTTCACGATATAGCGCGACCCCTAGCCAATGTCTTCGGCGAGTATTTGCCCTCACGCCCAACCTGCTGCACCCTACTGGTCACGACTTCTCACTAGAACCCCAGGCAACTACCTACCTGAATAGGGCAAGTCACTAGTGAGCATCTCATTGATATTCAAGTATTGGTTTGTAGGGATTTGGTTGGTTACAGGATTTTCATCATGAGTTCTCTAACTAATGTCAGCTCATGATGAAAATCCTGTAAAGCAAAAATTATTATTATTATCTTCATCACATAAGCCATTCACTTAAAAAAAATAAATGAATTGTCTTCAAAAATCCAATAAGATGATATTGAAATGTATGCCCTAAAGGTAGATACACTTACTTCCTTACTTACTTACTTACTGATAACTTTATTTCCTTGTAACTGACTGACTGAGTTTATGAAATCATGTGATTAATATTCATTTATATATGTATAATATATTAATATTGGATGGATAAAGTCTGTCAGTGTTGTTTACTCCGCCCATCCACATGTGACTCTGAATATGAATATGCCTATAATTCTGCCTCACAGTCATTTATATTGCTATACGATCAAACTCCTACACTAATAGACATTTAATAATAATATAAGTTCAGATATGATGTTCATGTGAAAAAGCAAAGAACTAATAAAAACCATTTGCTGTTTGAGAAAAAAACCCACTATTATTATTAAGCACCTGCCTTTGCCTGTTTAGTTCATTTTAGAAGTTTGATTTAAATAGGGAGACATTTTTAATCTCAATCTCATATAATCAATCAATCAGTAAGGGAATTGCAAAAATAACTTCAACAAAGAGGTGAATATTGTGGTGTAGTAGCCTAGTCGATTGGACAATTGGCATTGTTAAGCGATAGGTGTTAGTTAGGTTCGAGTCCCAGTCGGTAAACTATCATTCAATAGGGATGCAGGTAGGTAAGTCTAGCTAACGAGTTCAAAATACCCACGAAATGCTTATCATGAAATTCACCGGTAGCGAACGCTTACCAAGTAACATATAATTTAGAATTGCATATTAATTAATCTGCGATAGAAGAGTGATAAGAGGATTAAAGCTAACCATTCCCATTTATTACTCTCTGTGTATTCTCTTTAGCAGGTTGTGTAATCAAAACCTTAGTTAACACAGACTATTATTATTATTGTTCCCTCGGGTTACAAGTTGAACATAGGGCTTCAACAAAACATCTCCATATTGTTCTGTTTTCTGTGGCCCTCTTCATTTGGGGCCACGATTGCCTGTAATCTATCATCTCCCCTTCCCTACACGATCTCCTCCATGTCACCCTCACACCGACAACCCACTCGTTACTTCCCATTAAGGTCCTACTTGAGCAATGGCCTGCATTGCATGCAATGTCATTCGGTGGCCTCCTCAATGTATGCGCGATCCATCTCCATTTCCCCTGCATATTTGTTGCTTAATCGGTCGTTGGTTTCTTGTCGCTAATTCTTCCTCGCTGGTCATCCGATCTTCAGTATGGAGCCAGAGAAGGCAGCTGTTGATACCAGTTTGTAACTTGTTGGGAATGCTTTTTGTGATGCACGGTGGAGGTTTCTGACGCATATAGAACTGAGTAACTTAACACTGGCGTTGAAAAACCAAATCTTAATGCCACGGAGAGCAGAAGACTTCCAAACCTATTTCAGATTGATTAAGGTGTGTCTTGCCTTTCCGATTCTGGCTAGCTTTCACATCTTCATCCATGTGGTTGAAAAAATACTTCCTAGATAAATGATAGAAGTAACGTCTTTCAAATCTCTGCCTTTGATGATGACTGATGCTGGCTGTTGTTGCTGTTGCTGTTGGTAGGTTATCTTCCTGACCTCCAGCTTCTCTGTGTTTACCTGGAGTCCTGTCTTCTCTACCTGCCTCTTCAGTCAGTTTTTTTGTTTTCTCCTGTAGTTCTTTCAGTTTGCGTGACATTAAACTTAAGTCATCTGCGAAATCTCGAACTCCTGGAGTCTTTTATCGATCCGGCATATTCCTAAAAGAGACTATCAAATGCCCATTTTAAGAAGAGAGTACATGTGGTGACCGGTAATGAGGAATAAGGATCCATCTTGTGCTATGATGACATTTACAATAAAGAAGAGATTACTAAAACATTTCACTACTAATATCAGTAGTAATCAACCAATCAATCACTCAGTTAAAAGTCAAAAGTCACAAGGTGAATTTCAATACTTACGGATTAGTTGGACTAAAGATGAAAAATGAAGATGCATTCGGTATTGGTTTTATTTTCTTTGTTGAACTCATCTCTGAATGACGTCGAGAATTCGAGGCATCTTTTGCATCTTTATCATCAACACTTTCATCTATATGTTCATTGTTGCCATCAGTTTCATCTCCAGGTTGATTGTTTTCAGTTTCATTGGCTTTACGTTTCTCATCTATATGTATTTTTGATCAGTGTAAATAAAAGAGAAATAATAATAATAATGATATTAATAAGGTTGATAAGTGTTATTTACGGCATTGGTCTTGCTAGTAAATTGGAAGTCTTCCAGGTAAATATGTTAATAAACAATACTGTCAGTAGATTATTATACTTAGTCGTCTTGTGATGTAGTGGGTTATGACTGAGAGGCTGGATGAGAATTGGGATCACAACAGGATGAGAATCAGTAACCTGCGAACTACTAGTCCGGCGTCTGAATTTACAATCTATTACCAGTTCACCCATGCAGCTATCCGAAATTCCCCTCTCTCACCTGAAATAATCTGAGCAGAGTACTGATACGCTCGGCTTAAAACGGGTGAAACAGCCGTCAGGTATTTAGACCACTTGAATCTGGCTAACTAGTAAGCATCACTGATTAATGTCAAAAGGTGTCAAACTACTCATCAATCAATAAGTAGTATACAGCACTGAAATAGCTGACTTACTAGATTCAATTCGAAACGATATCATCATTTTTTAATAAAGATGGTTCGGTCGAAAACACTATATTTCTAGCCTCACTACATTCTTCTCTGATTTGGAATCAATCAAATGTATATGAATCTGAATTTCAGGGGAGATTTGGCAGCTGATATCTTAAACAGAAGAATATCCAGCCATTCAAAGAAGACCTTCCCTGCAGTAACACTAAGAGTGGCATTCTCTAGTCGTTCAATACATCGAAATAACGCTAAGGACAAACTCTCGCATATGTTCATGCGGAGCTAGGTACATTGGGTCGCTGTATGCGCGTCCTTTCAAAATGGGTTAAAGAAGATTACCCAGCATGACTGAAAAAAGAAGGTACCTGTTCAATCAGAAGTGCCATTAGTGAACATCTGATCAACACCTCCCACAACATCTCAACTGATTCATTCAAAGTAATTTACAAAGTCAACAGAAACCTACCAAAAGCAGTGTGTTTCTGACTTCTCTGTACTGTAGAAACCCTAGCAATATGCAACGAAAAGCCGGAGCTGTGTGTTCAAATGAAATTAGTTCAACTTCTACAACTACCATGAACCTAGTTCGGTATGTTACCTTAGCCACCGTTATTTTTTCGTTCGCTGTGTGTTTGTGTGATTCTCGTTCTCTATGTCTTCATTCAATTCATCCCATATTTTTCCAGTTATAGGAGCATTTATTTTAAGTTTGTTTCCATGCTTTTCCTGCTCACATTTATAATTCGTTTAAAATAGCCATTTTACAATTATATCCTAGTCCTGTGTAATTTTGGTTTCTAAGGCCGTCGTAATCTACATTCACACCTCCTAACTTCCATTTTAAGTTGAAAATTATTATTTCAATTTGTTTCCATGCTCATTTTTCGCACACTTGCAATTCGTTATAATCCTGTGTAATTTTGTTTCTAAGCCCCTTCGTAAACCATATCTATTTGAAAATAATTGTCACCCTTTATTCGCCTTTGTAATTATATGGAACTAAGTAAAAATTGTATCTATGTAAAATTATGTATTACAAATGCAATTAAACAGCTTTTGAAAATGAAATCGCCGAAGAGATCACCATCTTTACTGAACTTCGTGTTCTCTTTTTTCAAATATATATATGTCACACCTCATAAAGCGTGAAATAAAAAGAGACATCATATTTACATGAACGTAGTTGTAGATGGCAGCCTAGTGTATTTGTTCAGCATTAAATGACTTCATCAAAATCTATGAGTTAAGTTCTCAATCTGATCGCTAAACATGTGAACAGCAAATAACACTATTCTTTTGTACAGTGAGAGTGTTTTTGAAGTTAGATATTAATAGATAGTCTCTTAGATGGTGCTGAATTTCCAGTCTTTTGTTTTTACTGGTTGACTGATTGGACTGAGATATTCAGGCCTCTGCTGAAACGTCGCCTACTAGTACGGATGCTTTGACGATGTCTGACTACTCACATGATTTCAACCGAATCCCTACAAACCAATACTTGAATATCAATGAGATGCTCACCGGCGACTGGCCGTATTCACGTAGGTAGTTAGTTACCTGGGGTTCGAGTGGGAATTTGTGACCAGTTGGGTGCAGCAGGTCGGGTGTGAGGACAAATATTCACCGAAGACATTGGCTAGGGGTCGCGCTATATCGTGAACTGGCAGAAGTTAGAATTCATGGGCCGTTGGATCGGTTCCCAGTGGCTCAATGGTCTACGAGCTTGCCTTGTAACCAGAAGGTCCTGGGTTCAAACCCCGGTGGTGGGTGCCTAATGCTGATGGGTCCCAGACCAGGACGAAACAGCTGTCCAGTACTCCCAGGTTTTCCAATGGTTCTCTAACCAATGTCAGCTCATGATGAAATCCTGTAATCACATGATTTCATTTGATGGATTCCAGGATGTGCGCAATTCGTCACGATCCATCGAATGACGTCGCCTCATTCATCAGATATCGTCGAACCATCTTTAACCGGGACTGGCGTGTCAACATAAGTTGGACATTTCTGTCCAGTCAATCAAGAGCTAAAATAAAAGTGACTTAGATAAATGATAGCTGACACTTGTCAGATAAGAGGCGGTTCTCGCGTCTCAGAGACTTAGTGGGCAATGCCTTGGCGTTCGCAACAATGAGTGCATGTTTCAAGTTTCAGTGAGTCCTACGAGTGCATCCACAGCTGACTAGTCCCACACAGTTCGACATGCATAACAGATACAGTTTTTGTAATTCACTGATCTTTCGGAAACACAGAAGTTCATTTGTAATGAAAGTAGATTGTTGATAAAGTTTCTGACACTGTCAATAATTAGCTCTCTTATTTTTGGAATCTGATTTCCATTGAGATTCTAGATTAGCTATACAGATTAGCGCAAACACTACATGTTGTACGCTACATACACAACTGGCATATAATGTTTTTGCCATAATCTGATTGCACCAAATACTCATCATTGATAAGATACAAACATTGGAAAACGCGCTCGCGAACACTACCCAGCCTGGCTAGTAAAAGGAGACCAAAAACGTGTATACAGTTCAGTGACAGAGCATCTGGTCAACCCAGGACATTCAGCGCCTTTCGAAAAATCCTTCAAAGTAATATACAAGATTCAATCAAACCTATAAAAGGGAGCGAAATTAGGACTTCTGGGCATAGCTAAGGCGCTAGCCATCCAAAAGCTCAAACCCACGCTTTGTATCCAAAAGAATTACGTCCAGCCCCTGTCCCTGCCATGGCCATCATAAACAGGTAATGACAATCTCATCGCCCTTCTTATCTAAACTTCCTGTTTATTCATGTTATTTTAAGTTTTTCTTAATCCCTATCTACACTACCATATTTTCATATCCACTCTTCCTGTTTATTTTGTCATTTTACTATTTCTACAAATTTAATCCCTGATTGCACAAACAATTATTCATCATATTAGCTTTTTACCCAAACATCCTGTATATTTTGTTATTTCTACATTTCTAACCCCCAATTGCACAATGTCAATCTTCTTAGTTATTATAATGCTACTTTGTTTGAGTTTTATGAGCCCCCCCCCCTGTTTATTATGGCATTCTAATTCCTAATTGTAATTTTTATTAATTTGACCCTTAACCGGAAATTGTTCTGGAACTTTCCCATTCATTTGATATAAATACATTGGAAATTAAAAATTAATCAAGTAGGTTTTTTTATAGTCTCACCTCTGTCGAACATGGATCGGTCAATTTCAGTGTCTTCATTGATTGGATCCAGGCTACACGAAATCAAAGACAAGAAAAAAGAATGTTATTAGAAATGGTCTCTAAAAAACCATTTTGAAATAAAAGAAACGCTTTAGTTGAACAAATATTTGCTTACACCTCTGAAATCCTGTACATGATTATGATAAAAAGGGAACAAATGCTTTAAACAGTGCCATCGTCAGGCATCTACTAGACAACGGTCATCAGGTCGACGTCGCAAGATCGCTCAAAATTATCAATAAGCAAAAGAGCTTAATTCTCCTCAAGTTTGCTGAAGCTATTTCTATCAAGCGCCTGAAACCTGATTTATGCGTCCTAAAAGAGGCGGTTATCGGTCTTTCTTTGCCCTGGTAACTGGATATTTCCATCTCTCTTTCATTTGAATGCAAAATGCTGAAAAGTTTCCTTTGTGTACGATTATTATTGTTCGGAATAGTGTTTAATATTACATGTCTATATATGTATATATTATTAGTGTATGCATATATTGATCGATTGATTTTTGTTTAAAATGAACTCTGTGCAAGTATGTTAAAATTGTTTCTGCACATATATTTAATAATGTCTTTGCCCTGTAAGCAGCTGACGAGAAGGCCACGAAATAGCAATGATGGTACCATTTTATTCTGCTAAAACTGTAGTTCTTGCTTTGTTCAAATATGATAAAAAGCATGTGCTAATCTCCTGACAGCACGCCAATAATAAGACAAAGATTTCTCTAGTCAAGGGGAGAGAGAGAGGGACAGATGTTCAAGCGTATAAAATTCTTCAGATATGCTTTGATCATATCACATTTCATTGGTAACTAGACTATAATCAGAATCATTTATATAATCGTCGTTGTAGGTGCCATGCCGACTGAATCCTGTCAGTCAAGCTTGCAATACAGTCATTAGTGTCAAAGAGATTCATCACCGCAGTGCACTTTTTTGAATTTATGTTAAACCTCTAGGAGCAAAGAGCATTCCCATCGACAACTTCCCCATTTAGGTTCTACAGTTATGCAAAACAATGAAAATTGAAATCACCATCCAGAAAAAGCATTTCAGAAATCGCGAAGAACGTCTAATATCAACAAGAAGCACTTCATATCATCAAGTGGAATCCAAATTGTCAGAATAGTCTGAATGATGGACTAAAACAGAATTTGACCTGGTTACAACATCTCCTCCCCACCCCATGAAATGACAAAATCAACACGGATGTGGTAGCTTGATGAATTTGAGCACAAAGAGGCAGTTGAATAAGATCATAAGTCAAGGGGCGGAAGAACTCAGTGATAATGGCTTATACATTTTCATCTCTCTTCAGTGTTACAGATGTACCTCGTTATTCAGAGCTAATAAATAGGAAACCTAAAGCAGGTAACGCTTCCTGTTGACTAGGTTGTTTTAACACAAAATACCTCAGTGTTAATTATGTTAGATGTCTAATTCACATAGAGAAAATAATGCTAACATGTTAAAATTAAATAATAATAATAATGATAATAATCCGGATTAAAATTGTCGAAAACAGAAAACTAATTATTATTATTATTCTAACCTAGATGTTGTTTTTTTTTCATTAAGTCTAAAGAAAAAAACTGTATGTTCCTGTAAGGGGTAGCAATAAGATAGAAATACATTGCACCGAAAATGAAGGCTTTAGAAGATTTAGACTCCATGGACGATTTACGCCCTAATGTCACACATAGACTTAAAAATCTACAGGTGGTGTAAAGCAACAAGTTGGCAGAGGAAGGAAACAGTGGAGACAGGAGATTTAGATGAACATACAGAAGATAGAATTGATGAAGATGTTTGACCAGCAACAACAACTAATCACTATCAGCAAGAGAAATGTAAACGAGGTTACTTGCTGCTGCTGGATTCAACATAGAACTTGGCGCCGAGGTGCAGCACTTCGAGTTGCCACGTTCCAAAGAGCACACAAAGGTAGACAGGAAAATGACAGAAGAGAATCAATAGAACTTAGATAAGTATAAGAGTGAAACAGAATGAGTAATGGTAGAAAGGAACATGAAAGGTTAAAGAGACTGAATACATCTGCGCCACTGACAACGATTTTGAGCCATGTCACCTATTGTCTCCAGCCATTGATTCTTAGAGTCCCGAGGGCGGGTCCCAACCCGGAAGTCTGTATCTCCCTACCTGACTCAGTTTAACTGTCAGGGATTTCATGGATTGACGCCATGTTTTTGTTTGGTTTAGTGCGTCGGTGGTATAGCGGTTAGGACGCTCGCCGACCATGCACATTGTCCGGGGTTCGGTCCCCGGCCGGCGCACTCCTTTACCTCGCTGAGCCAGAAAACATGCTGGTAAAGAGGAAAGGCTGGGCATGAGCCTAGCAACTTCATCCTGTAAAATAAACAATGCTACAGAAACTTCAAGCTTCTAGCTTGAAGCCCTATGTTCCATTGGGGAACGTGAAGGAAACAAAAAAAATGTTTCACTCGGAATACAATGAGTGAAATCAAATTAATGTACACAAACAAGGTTAACTCTTTCACTTGTCAGCATGCTTTCAACTACAAGCAGGAGCGAAAAGGCGAGATAGACGCTTATTAGTCTTAAATCCGTCTGGAGACCTACTACACTCGGTATAAGAAGGAGAATTAAGATTTTCCACGCTAATGTTAAGTTAGTCATTGCTTCTACATGGTTCACGTTTTCCAGTGGAACATAGGGCTTCAAGCTAGTGGCTTGAAGTTTCTTTAGCAGTGTCTATTTTACAGGATGGGGTTGCTAGCCTCATGCCCAACCTTTCCTCTTCACCAGCCAGCATTATTTCTGGCTTAGCGAGTTAAAGGAATGCTTCGGCCGGGGATCGAACCCCGGACCATGTACATGGTCGGCGACCGTCCTAACCGCTGTGCCACCGACGCACCTCAACACATATACATAGGTTGTATTATAAGGGAAAATAATTATTTTATTAAGGCATAAAATTAGTACGAATAATGTTTGCTCGAATGGTATAAAATATTTGTCCCCGAGAGTCGTGCAAAAAAAAGAAAGATCAAAAGTAGTCTTAGGATATGTTTCTAAATCCCAAGAAAGATAAATGCAGGATGATAAATAAATCTACGAACAATTCACAGTAATTCGCTATAAGTAACCATCAGGAAAATATATATATGAACAGATGGTCAGGTTTATCAAGTGTTTTACTGCAAGATTCATAGAGTGTTTATTTTTTTTCATTTCTATTGACATAGCACATGAAGATAAGAAGGCAGGCGCTTTTGTTTTAAAAACTACGGTATATATATATATATAGGCTGAATGAAATTTACCAGAAACGCTGTTCAACAATTCAGCATTTAGTTATCTGGTGAAGTTAACGACAGTAAGGGTGACCTATATATATTAGCGCTCTTATCTAAATAACCTTGTTCAGAAGATATAATCTCATTTTAGGAAAAAATTCCATATAGAGCAGAAAGAGAAGACGTTTAGATAAAAAAAAACACAGAAGCAATATTATTGCTGGATTATCTCTACTTTCTTTCGTTAATATTATTAAATAACTATGAAGGGAATTGTATATCAACTAATTTGTAGAAGTTCAATCATGAGTTGATATCGGTTAGAGAGCTATTGGGAAACCGAGGAGTGCTGCATAGCTGTTTCGTCCTAGTTTAGGACTCCTCATCATCAGTGTCCATCTACCACAGAGGTTCAAACCAGGGACCTTCTAGTTACAAGGCAAGCTCATAGACTATTAAGCCACGGGAACTGGATCCAGTGACTCGTGGATTCCGAATTCAGGTCACGCTATATGGTAAACTGGTAGAAGTTGGTATTCATGGATCATTGAATCGAGTCCCCATAGTTTAGCAGTCTATAAGCTCGCCTTGTAACTGGAAGGTTCTTGGTTTGAACTTCTGTGGTAGGTGGGTGCTGATGAAGAGTCCAAAACTAGGACAAGACAAATCTCTAGTACTCCGTGGTTTTCACAGTGGTTCTCTAACTGATGTCAGCTCATGATGAAACTCCGTAACCAATCAAATCAAATCCTTGTAAGCCGACGCTTGAGTAATGAACAGTTGTCCAGGGGACCAAACTTGAAATCAATCAAATCCCTACAAAGTAACTCTTGGAAATTAGGTTTTTAACAGTTTTTTTATTTTTCTCTCACAAAGTTTTGATTTTTCATTCCTGTGTCTCCTGAAGTGAAATGATTAGTGCGATTTTAGCATATCGGATTCTTGAATAGACGGCTCGATATTATCAAGGAGTAGAATTCAAGGTGCTTATAGACAGCAAAGGAGTAATATGAATTTAAGAAAAGAAAATTATTCAAATACTACTTCTACTATCATGGTGTGACGTGTGCTACTGACAAGATTCATCAGTAGTATGTGAAGAGACGTTCATCGGCGCACAAAAATATCAAATAGCGGGGAGATAGATTTGATGTCAAAGAGGCGAAATGAACCACTATCGTAGCGAAACATGGAAGACACGAAAAGAAGACAAAGAAATACATTACGAAGGAAAGAAGTAGTACAACAACGAAGATCTGTGCAAATGATGACAATTTCTCTATAGGTGTGTGTCAAATCACGTTAACAAGTCTCTTGTCTTCTATGGTTGCTGTGGTAACAACCTTGGTGTACATTACCAACTTGACTTTATTTGTTTGCTTTTTCAAGTCTTTACATCTCTTGAATTTCTATTGAAATCTTACTTAATTGCAAACTGTACCGTGAACACAACTCATTCATTAAGTAATTCATCTTACTGAATAAATGTATTAAACATATTAAGCTCCTATTATTGACTGATTAGTATTGACAAGTATGCGTATAACAACTCGTCACTTCTGTTTTTGTTCTTTTTCAATATTGCCTAAATGAGGGTTATTCATGAACATCGATCTGCCTCTGTTCAACGAAAGTTTTATTCATTACAAACGATACTAACAACTTTGGGATATAAAAACCGTTGATTTTAAACACACTCTGAATTATGTTTATGGAAACGCACAGTCGTATGGTATTACTTACTAAACTCAATTTATTTTCAGTTATCAAATAAAATTAATCTTAAGCATAATTTGAAATTTCGCGAGTAGAATCTTATGTCTGGAACATAGGCATAATTATTGGAGCCTAATAGTTATCTTATTTCCTGAGCTGAAAGCAGTATTCGATTCCATTAACCAAAAGGTATTATGCCGATGTTCGGCTGTACATCGAATGCCGAGAAAACATATCGAACTGATCAGGGCACTCTACTCGAACTCATGCAACCAGCCATGTTAGAGCCTACGGTGTGTTGACAAACAGTGGTGTCTGACAGGAATGCCCTGTTTCTGTCTCACTCTCTCTCTCTACTTTGGCTATCTCCTACGGAAGGATGAGCCGGCTTCATGAACATCTCGAATCATCGCTGCCCAGGCGCGGTGATCTGATGAAGAGAGTTCATGAAGTTTCATGGGAATTTGGTACGAGTGATGTCCCCAGAATCGCTCGGCCTTTTGTTTGAGAGTGCAGCTCTAGCCTTTACACAACCAAGTGTGACCTGCAAGGCAGTAGGAGTGGAGTAGGGAGTCCACTATCCATTGGCAGCCGGTGACCGGTTCATACGCCTTTTTGAGTGAGGCCAGACATCCAGGAAATCCAACAAGCCCTTTGTCCATACGTCTGCCAGGGAGCTCCAGTGAGCTTCATACGCCAGTCGTTGGAGGTTTGGAATCAGGGTTTAGCCATCTCCCCTAGACTATCATCCAATAGACAGTCTACCCGGTGAAGAGCGCCAGGCATCCGCTTTCGCCCTCTCACTCTGGTGAAAAACACCTCCACCACGTGAAGGCAGTGAGCAAGACTTCCTCAGGAGAGGCTATGTAAGACGCCTGGTCATATGGGAGCATTTCAAGAGGTGTGCAGAGGGGTGGCCAACCCGCAGCGCAAGGCACTCACCCCCGACCATTCTGAGGCGTTGGAGACATCATATGTGCACCAGTGGGATTGACTCTAACTGACTTCACCAACTTAGGAATTGATTTTATACCAGAGAATAGTCTTGTTGAATTAGAACAAGCAGATGATATAGTCCTCCATCCTAGATGAACACGCTGACAAAATCCAGAGTCTTCTGAACACCTTGAGCAGCAGCAATCTTAGAATGTTTGGTATGCGATTCACTCCCGACAAATATAAGATCAACTGGACTATATTGTCTCCTAGCGCTTAGAAATAGGGAGTGAATTGGTAGAGCGCGCTGACCACTTCACTTATTTGAGAAGTTGCACCAGCCTCAGCGCGTTGATCACTGATGGAATCTTAGCACGGATACAGTAGGCTCGTTTGGTATGTGCCAACTTAAGCCATCTCTGGCTTAGTAGACGTGATATCCAGCTGGCTGTCGACCAGTATTGTGTTTTTCATGATGTCAAATCACTAAGATCACAAAATCTAAAAGGTGTATGTCAGTGAAAACAAGTTTCTTTTAAAGGATATGGATATGAAGAAACAGTATTATGCTAAACCTCAGATCGAAAAAATTCAGGGGCCAAGAATGATAATTAATATATTAGTTTTCAAAAGTTGGTTTGCAGGGATCTGATTCAAAGTTCCTTTGAATTTTGATCAAAGATGGATATCAGTTAGGGAACCATTGAAAACCACCAGTTTGAGGCTGATACTAGAATTACTAATTGGTAGAAGTTGAAACTCAAGGATCACGGGATCTGAATGGTCTAAGAGCTTACCTTGTAACCGAGAACTCCTAGGTTCGAACCCAGACAGCTGCGTAGTACTGAAGAGTCTCAATCAGGGATGAAACAGCTGTCCAAAACGCGCTAGCTTTCAATGGTTCTCTAAGTGAAATCACCCACTCATGATTAAAATAAACATAGATTATTATTACTGGATGCTAATGATTAATGCTCAAATTGAATTTTATTCAACCCAATAATATAAATTTCACACGAATGAATACCTATGTCAAAAACATATGGAGGAAATGAAACTGTAGCCTGATTCTGTTTAGGGAATAAGTTCATAGAGTGAAGTAATTACAGATTAAAGTAAGCTAGACAATACAGTCTCATAGGTAAGACATATTTAAACAAGGAAAACTTTATGTTTAAAGAAAACAAACAATAAATGTTGAACGCTTACTTCAATTGATCCAATAATTGTGTAACATCATTAAATTCATGATGCACTTCTGACAACTGGCCATCTGGATTACTACTTGTATTATTATTGGATAATTTTCGATTGTTTAACATCCCGTAAGATTTATTCTCTTTATTAATGTCCACGTTTCCACTGCCGACGCTACCAATTTTTCCTGCGTCTTCTGTACCACCACCACCGCCGCCAACACCACCACCTGTTGTAGAACCACCAGTTCCAGCTTGTTCTGTATCATTTTCATCAGTTGCTTCATCTTTTTTCTCTTCCATTTGGCCAGTATCAGCCAAATTATCAACAGCAATAGCCAAGAATACATTAAGTAGAATGTCTGTTCACAGATTTATAGTATTTATTTATTAGTTAAGGAAGACGTTTTCGTAATTTATGATTAGCAAAACAAAAATATATAATTCAATTGAATTTTAGATTTTCCCGTCGATTGATTAGACCGAAGTGCTCGGTCTCAGGTTGACATGTCGGCTTCTTGTGTAGATGCTTCGACGATGTCTGGGTATGCAATTAGAAGTTAACTGGTGGATGGTGATTGGCAGTGGAATCCAGGATGTGCATTTCGGCTATCCTATTTAGGACTCGTCATCTGGATGTACCTGCATTTCTCAGTCAGTGATGATGTTGCCACCACCGAGGTTCGAACCCAGTGCTCATAGTTTGAAACACCAAAGCGTTATCCACTAGACAACTTGGGCCACGACAGCTAGCCACCTCGATGGGAACATCATCACTCACTTACTGGGGAATGTAGGTAAATCCAGCTGACGAGTCCTAAACAGGACAGCCGAAATGCGCATCCTGGATTCCACTGCTAGTCACCATTCACCAATTTAACATATATAATTCAAGGTATTTAGTGTTTGATGACTGGCAGTGGAGTCCAGAATGCACATTACGCCCTATTTAGTATTCATCAGTCTGGTGTACCTGCATTCCTAGTGAGTGACAGTGTTCCCATTGAAACTCTAAACTAGCATCCATCCTTTCAGGCGCCAAAGCATTATCCACTAGATCAAGTCTCAGTGAGAACAACAACACTCACTGGCAATGCAAGTAAACCCAGATAACGAGACCAAAATGCGATGAAATACGCATCCTGTTGTCAGCAGAAGCTGACAACTTCAGTCCAATCAGTTTATTCGAAAACCAAAATTAAATCTTAAAAAACATCTATATATTTCAGTGAGATGGTCCGGGGTTCGATCCCCGGCCGATGAGGCACTCCTCGTGACACCTCGTTAAGCCAGTAATAAAACTGGTAAAGACGTAAGGTTGGACATGAGGCTAGCGAACCCATCCCATAAAAGAAAATACCACAGCTACGGAAACTTCAAAGCTCCAGCTTGAATTCCTTCCTATGTTCCACTTGGAACGTAAAGGAACTAAAAAAAATGTATTTCAATGTGGATTTCCTCACGAACTTACACGAGTTAGAGACAAATTTAGAAACTAAGCACCGCTACAGAGCTGTTTTCTGCCAGTTTCAGACTCTTCATCAGTCAGCCCTCATGACCCCATGATTCATCTAAACGAGGATCATAAAGTGATGAGGCCATATAACCGACTATTCAGCCACTGAGTTCGGAATCAACCACTAACGAACTTAAACTCCTCCAACCAAAATTGTCGTAGACGAACACTGAATTCCAACCGATTCACAGAATAGTCAACAGGCTAGCATTGTAAACTGATCATCCCAGGTTTAATAGTTAACCAAGTCATGATAGTACACTGATGAAGATTCCTAAAAACTAGGACGAAACTATTCTCTAGTAATGCTTGACTTTCAGTGATTCTTTAAATAAGATGTAGTCTCGTGACGACATCAATACTGAGATTAATCAAAATCCTTACAAAAATACAAAATCTCAGCAAGTAAGTTACAAATGGATGAAATATTTTCCTGCCTAAAAGCTGAAAATGCAATTGTGAATGTTCCTTTATAAAACATAAAGCTAATGAAGGCTTAGAAGTCGTATAAAATGCATATTTTCACAATCCATTTCACATCTAAATTAGCATATGCTTAAATGCGATTAGAGAAAATTCCATATATGTATATTAACTGTTCCTGTTTTGTAGTTGTTTACTATTAATAGCCTACACAGCGGAAATATCCTTCATTGAGTTGTTAAGTATTATGGAACAAGTATATTATCATTACTGATGCCATGACTTAACAGCTCCGTGAGATTTTCTAATATATCATGACATTTTGCCAACCTGTCAATATTACTGCTTTTAATCAATAAGTATTTCTTTTAGTGGAATGACTCATATGTAAGCAGTAGGCGTTCATACAGGGAAATTCTACAGGTTAAATAATTATTGGTCACAGGATTTCATCATGAGCTGACATTTGTTAGAGAACCATTGGGAAACCTGCCGGGGAGTACTGGACAGCTGTTTCGTCCTAGTTTGGTACTCTTCATCAGTACCCGCCCACCACCGGGGTTCGAACCCAGGACCTTCTGGTTACAAGGCGAGCTAGTAGACCGGAAGGTCCTGGGTTCGAACCCCGGTGGTGGGCGGGTACTGATGAAGAGTACCAAACTAGGACGAAACAGCTGTCCAGTACTCCCCGGCAGGTTTCCCAATGGTTCTCTGACAGATGTCAGCTCATGATGAAATCCTGTAACCAATCAATCAAAATCTCTACAAACCAATACTTGCCTACTTATATTTGTTGTTCAGTGTAGGTTGGATTGATTAAATAGTGAACTCTCAATTAGGTGAACGTTTTTCAGGCTGATTGAGATGAAAATTCTTAATTAAGAAAGCATTTTATTTCAAACAAACATAAATTTGACTAGTATTCAGTAAAGTTGTAAAATTAAAAAAATGGGAAACTGAGTAAAATCCCCCCCCCCCATTCTGTTGACTGTTCACAATATCTCAATATTCATTGGATTGGATAGTGTTAGGTCAAGATGAAGAAACTAGGGTGTAATGCAAATGAGCAGGTCATCAATAAATTAAAATTAACAGTCAAACTGTATAAAGTAAAATTTTTGAATTAATGAATGTTCAAACCAATATCGCTATGCAAAGAATTAAAACTGCTACTACTACTACTAATACCAAAAAAGACATTGCTGGTTTCTTTGAGTAATGATTATAAAAATTTAAAATGGTGAACTTTAAAAGAAGAATTTTAATCTAAGTCATTTTAAAAATTTGCCATCGACTAATCATGAGCTGATGTTGGTTAGAAAACCATTGGAAAACAAACTGGAAGTGCTCGACAGCTGTTCCATTCTAGTCTAGGACTCATCAGCATTAAACACCCACCACCGGGGTTTGAACCCATGAACTTCTGGTTACAAGGTGTGCTAATAGACCATTCACCTACTGGGACGCCATCCGATGGCCAGTTCATGAATCCTGCCAATTCATGACATAGCGCGACCGCTAGCCAATGTCTTCGGCGAACCGACCTGTTGCAGCCTACTGGTCACGACTTCTCACTAGAACCCAGGTAACTACCTATCTGAATAGGGCCAGTCTCTAGTGGGCATTTCAATGGTATTCAAGTATTGGTTTGTAGGGATTTGATCGATTGGTAGTATACAGCGTAAAATCTCACGTAAAAGCTGCTGTAAGGAGAAAAACAACAACTCGGGTATAGTGTTGTTGCAATACTAAAGTGAACTGAATATGCGACAAGAAATGAAGAAAGGAGATACATCCTGAGTGTAATGGGAAAATCATTTGGAAAATCCCTCGTGAACGATCTAATCACAGTATTATTACTTTTTTAGATGTTCCAACTAACTTTGTGATCAATGTCTGTTCTTCAAATAAACTGTGTATCATTGTTCTTATGTTCACGGTTCATATGTTGACCTGATCCTTATTATTTGTCTTTGTTCCTGTTTAGTCTCCAGTTTTATTACTTCTCTTTGTGTTTGTGCAATACATTGATAATGTATTGTTTTGTTTGACTGAATCAAGGTAATTCTGATCTTGAAATAGTCTGTGGGAATTGTTTGGTATGTGATACCTGCAGACAGAATTTTTGTATCCCACCTTGTTGGAAATATTCTACTTGATACTAAGTGCTAGTTTTGTACATAGAAAATCACCTATTCTACTTAGATGCCTAACCACAATGTTGAGTTTTTGATATTATTAGTATTGAATAAGACTACACACAGATTTTTCGAAGAAATATCGTCTTTTTTATGTCTTTGAAACATTTTTGAGTGTACAGATCTCTCAAGGAGGTTTTGGACAGGTATACACAGTAGAATACAGAGATCAGTCCCCTGTGTTCAGACCACAACGAGTCAGTTTTGGTCGCTACACACCGTGGATGTTTCAGAATAATTTACCAAGAACAGAGATTCCATACATTCAGATATTCAAGCTATACCAGAAGAAGCAGGAGTCGTAGTCGAGACATACTGGATAGAAGGAGAATGCCTAAACTGATAAGCCATTATCCTGCATTATTCCAAGTATAGGATGATGATGATAATAATTGCAAACAATGCAATGAATGAAGTACTCAAGCTTTGCATGTTATTTTATTTTCAAAAGGAAATCGTATCTATTCTCATCAGCATTGTTTTTTCTACAGAAAATATGTAGATGAATAGGACACATTCTGGCGAGATTGTTGAGTTGATATCACGCACCAAGCCATCTAGCGTGAAATAACGAGCCTGTCGTTCGACCGTGACATTGATAAGATCGTGTCAGGAGGAGATGACAGAGTTTGGATAATTACGGAGTCACCTAAAAGCGACTGCAGAGAACAGGTTGAAATTGAGGGTTTGCTGCTGAAGGCGTATGTTTCACTCGGAGCACAGGGGAATAATGATACTAATAATAATAAATATTAGACCGACGACCGACCGACGAATAACAAAAAGATATTTAGAGTACTAATGCTATCCTCTTTTCTCCCATAGCTGAATTTAGAGGTTTACTCTGAAGTATGAAAAATACCTATGCGGTATAAATGTTTCTACAAACATATCTGAACAAAGAGTATTCTATCTGTATCTTCACAACAAAGCTATAGATGTCATTAACTGGTAATAGGAAATACTAACTGCATCTTCTGTCTTTAATCAACGCTATTGCAAAATAAAAATAAATGTGAAACTAATAATGATAACACAAACAAGAGTGAATGTAAGGCATCTACTGTTATACCATATAAGGAGGGGACATCTGAGACCCTACGTAGGATTCTTAATAAAGCAGGAATTAGAGTGGCATTTAAATCTACAAACTCACTCAGGGACAAGTTCTGTAGGTTAAAGCACCCAGCTGATCCAATTAGACAAAATAATGTAATTTACAAAATACCCTACAATGACTATGAGTGACGTCAACTATATAGGTCAAACTAGAAGGTCGAGGGTAGTCAGATTGTCGGAACATAAGTATTCAGCTAAGGTAAGAATGATTGACCCCGAGAAGACAAGTAATTTAGAAAAAAGCTCAGCAATTGCATTGCATGCATAAACACACAACCACACAAGAGGGTGGGTGGGACAGAGTCAAAATTCTGCGAAGTAATATAGGTAGGTAAAGAGAGAGGTGGTTCATTACTGAATCCTGCCTTGTTCACTGAGTCTACACGCAACAAGTGCAATAGGCATGACTCATCAGTCATACCAGAAATATGGAAAATACTACTGCCAATCAAGTCAAGCGATGGGAAATAATGGAATTATATAAACGAAGTTAGAAAGTTGTGTGAGTAGTGCCTTGATTTGATTACGAGTGGCAGTAAATTGTGCTCAAAACGTGGTCATCAGTAAATATTACTGTATAACACTGGGGGACTTTTCTGAAGATAAATTTTACGCACAATGGAATTATACTCTACCACAGTGCACAATTTTTATTCGTATAGCATCCATACACAGATTGAAATCCATTGAACTGTGTATAGAGAAGCAGTTTTCCCAATTCCTTAAACGTTTTTTTCTGCATGTAGAATAATTTTGTAGTGATCCGTATTCATTCGGGTTTTTTATTCTTCTTTCTTTCTTTCTTTTCGAACTCTTAACTTTAAAATATGCTCTTCACATATATTATGGATGATTTTGATTTGGTTGTATTGTCTGAGCTGGTTGACTGAATTGTGTAGCTTTCGTTGTTCATCTAGACAACATCTTCAGTGCTGGGGATTTAATATAGAGTGAACTTATTTGAATTCTCCATGAATGATATAACTCATGAATGGTATAATTTATTCAGGGAGAATTCAAATAAGTCCACTTTATAATAAAGCCCCTGCACTGAAAATGTTGTCCAGAGGAACAAAGAAAGCTACGCAGTGAAATCGCCAACCAGCTCAGACAATACAGGCGAATCAAAATCATCCACCTAAGCTACAAATCTTCTCTATCAAATCAAAATATTATTAACAAATTACCTGATTTCAAGCGCTTACAGTTTTATATGATAGTCATTTATAAGTCATATTCATCATTTTAGTGTTCTTTAGATTGTGTAAGACTACCTACTCAAGTTCTAGAGTTTACCGATTTCCTCCATGATAAACAGTTTAATATACAATAATACTTTGAAAACCAGGGAGTACTGGACAGCCAGCTGTTTCATCCTACTAGTTGAGGAATCATCCACAGTTCGCACCCACCCCCAAGGTCAGCGAGCTCGTATACCATTCAGCCACTACTGGTACCCGATTCAATGGCCAGTGCATGAATTCTAACTTCTACCGATTCGTGATTTAGCGCTGTGGGACATCCATCCTCACACTTGACTGGATGAAGCTCACTAGTTACGACTTCTCACTAGAACTCCAGGAAACTCCGTTCTGTATCAAGTTATTAGCAAGCATCAGATTAATTTTCTATAGTTGCTTTGTAAGGATTAGTTTTGTTTCTACGAGTTCATCATGAATTTATATCAGCTAGAGAACCATTGAAAACTAGCACTGGAGTACTGGACAGCTGTTTCATCCTAGTTTGGAAATTATCGGCAGTGAGGTCCATCCAGTCACGTATGAGGATGGATGTCCCACCGACAACATTGGTTGGTGGTCGCGCTAATCACGAATTGGTAGAAGTTAGAATTCATGAGCCGTTGAATAGGGTTCCAGTGGCTGAATGGTATAGGAGCTTGCTTTGTAACTGGAAGGTCCTGAGTTCGAACCCTGGCAGTGGGTGCGTACTGCCGATGATTCCCAAACTAGTGGGATGAAACAGCTGGCTATCCAGTACTCCCTGTTTTTTAATGGTTCTCTAACTGATATCGATATGTGATCAACTCGTAAAAAAATTCACTCCTCACAAAGCTACTATAGATAATACAATAATACTGACTGATCTCAGTATTTCACTTCTATCGGTGTTTTTCATGGCCTTTCTGAAAACACTATTTAACTGTATAGCTTTAATGAGTAGTAATCAATGGGATATTTGTGGCTATATATACTATAAGTTCCTCAAAGTAAAATTCTAACCACAATGACAATGATAGTTGAATCATCATTGGAAAGGATACAGTTTCCACAAATAAACAGTATCACATAATACAAGCAGACCATTATACCAACACGACTGTTTGAATATGAACGAATTCCATTATACATGGCTTCATTCCAATCTTCGCTAGTTAATATCTGTGGGGAAAAGAAGTGGAAAAAAAATAAATCGAAATACAAATACAAATCAATAGAATATTTAAATCATATGAAATTCTAAATATATTCTATATATATAAATAAATATATAATTCACTGGCTTAAGTACTCAGGTTTCATACAGTGTGTCCAAGAGATTCGATTTCCGGGCTCTACCGAATTCACTCTCGGATTTTCAATACAAACGTCAAGTCAGTCAGTTCTTCTATACGGATCAGAAACTTGGCGGAGGGTCACAAAGAATATTTCCAACAGGCCACTGCAGACCTTTATCAACAACTGTCTTCGTCGCTCTATACTGAAGATCAGATGGCCGGAAAGAATCACCAACAAGAAACTATGGGAACAAACAAACAAAACAAGAACCAATCGCTCAACAAATATGCAGGAGAAAGTGGAGATGGATTGGACACTCGATGAGGAGGCCACTAGGTGACATCACGTGTCAGACCGTAGCTCGAGTGGAACCCAAAAGGGAAGCGGCGAGTGGGACGTCAGTGCAAGGGTGACATGGAGGAGATCGTGTGAAGAGGAGTTGAACCAGTATGGATTAACATGGATGCAGGTGAAAAGTACAGCAGAAGACAGAAGCAAGTGGAAACATGCAGTTGAAGCCCTATGTTCCACTAGGAATCCAAGGGAACAATAATAATGACAATACCGAATTCACTCGGAACAACTGGGTAGTATCATTAGCTCTCTTTCTCTCTATCAAATGCAAACACATAATAAGCATGCCTAACAGCCTGGTGCATGAGATATCTGTTCCGGATAACTGAGTCCTAACGACAGTTCACAAAGTGACGGAGGCTAGAATTCACGCCTCGTTAAAATCCGGTCCAAGTAGCTGAATGGTCGACAGGCTTGGTGAAGTAACCTGAAAATTCCGGGTTCCATCACTGGTGGGGTCCTGGCTACGTACTACTGAAGAGTTCCACATGGCGTGAATTTATGAGTAATCTCCAGCATTGTCTTCAAATTCACAATATTTTGTCAAACAAATATTATTTATTTTGTCATCCCATTATTCTACGTAAATATGTATCCGTCGCATAATTGGCCATTATTGTAACAATGACAAATCTTCTATTTTATAATTGTAAGAACCTGAAGAGAAGGATCTATTGAAAAGAATATTTTTTGTCCAAATTAACTCTTTATAGACATAAATTCGATTACTTACAGGTGAAAACCAGCAAGTTGGCAGACGAAGCAGAAAAGACAGCTAGTCAAGTGAACATAGAGAAGACGGAGCTAATGAACTTACCCAGCGACCAACAGTAACAAGCCCCAATCACTATAAACGGGAGAGATTTTCAAACTGACGTCACTTTTTCACTCATATAGGTAGCATATTTCAAATACAAGCGACAGAACGGATGAAGTTATCAAAACTAGGATAAGAAAGGTAATGTACACCTTCACACACTCTGAAATCAGTGTGTAAAACCTCAGTACTCAGCGTGTTTTTTCCTTCACGTTCCCTAGTGGAACAGAGTTCTTCAAGCTAGTGGCTTGAAGTTTCTGTAGCAGTGTTTATTTTACAGGATGGGGTTTCTAACCTCATGCCCAACCTTTCCTCTTTACCAGCATTATTTCTGGCTCAGTGAGGTAAAGGAGTGCGTCAGCTGGGGATCGAACGCATGGTCGGCGAGCGTTCTAACCGCTATACCACCAGCGTACTCAGCGTAAAGCACAAAATTCTGATTTTCAGCACGAATGTTAAGTCAGTTAGTGCGTGTATATGCATCAGAGACTTGTACTGCGCGTCATGGACAGCGTTTTCACCAAGCCACCTAGGAGTTTTATCAACAGCTGCCATCACAAGCATCATATTGAAGATCAGACTGTCGACAAGAAGGAAGCAGAAACAAGAAACTGTGGGAACAAACCAACCAAAAACCTATTGCTTAAGAAATATACCAAATGGAAATAGGGATAGATAGGACACACTCGCGCGCCTGATCATCGGTCAAGTGGAACCCGAACAGGAGACATGGGTTCGACAGTAACATGGAGGAGATCATGTTGGGAGGAAAAGAAGGCTACTTATAGTCAGCTGTGGGGCCGTCAGCTAAAAAAGACTGAAGAGAAGAGGACAACATGAGAATCTGATGCTGCTGCTGATGTCCTGTGTTCCACTTGGAACCCAATGGAAATAATAATGATACTAATAATTCTCCTTAGGAATGTCATCTCCTGCCTCGCATTTCATTAATAAATATTAATTAACTGAATATTACTGTTGTTCTCGTTATTATTATTAGTTCATATTTAGCTGTAGTGAAGACTGATTAAAGTTTACAATCTAAGGAAATTATGTATGTCCAAACCAAGTTCACTTTTAGCTGTTTAAAAAATTTGGGCATTCGGTATATGATATTCATTATAATAAAGGTTTTCTTGTATTGCATGGGGGATTTCATCATGAGCTGACATCAGTTAGAGAACCACTGGAAAACCAGCTGGGAGTACTGGGCAGCTGTTTCATCCTAGTTTGGGACTCTTCAGCAGTACAGCAGGTTGAAGATGAGGCAGTAACTCATCGAAGAAGACATTGCGAAACTGTCGCGCTATGTTGTGAATTGGCAGAAGTTAGAATTCAAGGACCATTGGATCGGGTCCCAGTGGCTCAATGGTCTACGAGCTCGCCTTGTAACCAGAAGGCCCTGGGTTCGAATCCCGGTAGGTGCGTACTGATGAAGAGTCCCAAGCTAGGAAGGAGGAAACAGCTGTCCAGTACTCCTCGGCAGGTTTCCCAGTGGTTCTCTAACTGATGTCAGCTCATGATGAAATGCTCCATGCAATCAAACAAAATCCCTACAAAACCGATACTTGAAAATTTTCTTGTATTTCCCGATTGCCTCCAACCATCTAACATCAAATGATAATGTAGAATAGTTACCATATGGGACTTATTGAAATTCATTTCAAAGTATAAATTTCATGTAAAAATAAGTCAAATAAGTGAGGTTTCTTTTTTAATTCCTCAACGTTTAAATAGCTTAAAATAGTCTTGAAATAGTTATAATGTTTGTTGACTACCAATCATCCAATTAAAAGATGAGTTAGGCAATTGTTTGAGGCACAGAAAAAACAAAATTGACAAATTTATAAAACATGCTGAAATGCCGCAAAACTACTATCACTACTGCACTAGAAATTTATTTAAATTTATTTAAGATAGTTAGTTATAATTCACAATTGCATGCATAGAATGAAATCAACTCAGCACAGAGAATAAATAATTCATCATTGGCAAAAATGGAAGATTCCTGCTAACAACACTATTATAATCTGTTTTTCATGAGCCAAAAACAGAAAAAAAGATTTTCTAGACTAAATTTAAATTACTAAGCAAAGTATATTAGAACAGGAAATGAATCAACGAATTAGGCGAAAAATGGAAAAATACTCAACGAAATAAAAAGCAGTAATTTTCGGCGCAAAAAAAAGAGGAAGAATTTAACTAGATTTCCTGAGCTCTGATTATTGCCAAGTAAATCATGTGATCCAATGACAAAATAGAGTTTATATTCTTTTCAAAAGGTTGTCTGTCTTTCTTCGGAAAATTTGAAAAAAAATTGTCGACTACTTTTCATTTCTCTGTCTCTCTTCCTCTCTGTGTTGTCGATTGCCTGAAGATGTTATTACTGTTACTATTATTGACCGATTCTTCTCTAACTTTCTAGCTTATTTCACAGGTGTGAGTATAAGTTAACATTTCCTTGGAGTCATTATCATAAAAGTTTTCTTGTATTTCCCAGTGAATTAATGGAAAACAAAACGATATTGTTGCTTTTACTGACGTTTGGCTATTTGATGCTGCTGCTAATAGCTTTATCACAGCGGTATTATTAAACCAGAATTTACAAAATCCACTCAGCGTGTATATTTTACAAAGAGTTAAGAGGTGAGAAAATAGACAAGTTAGGTCAATTTAAAGGGGACATATTGGAAGTTAAAATAAAAATGAAATTGAAGATCACTAAACCAAATAACAAAGGTAATAGTACATCTGTTATGGTATCAAAACAAAGCTTACTAACTTGGTCATCGTTCGTCAGTATGGAGTCATTTTTTGTTGTCAAGTTGGCCAATCGGTAAAGATAACAAAACCAGGTGTAGATTGTTGGATTTGATCAGTGTGTAAAATTGTAAAAGCAGCGTGTGTTTACATAATGAAATTGCTTAGCACATTCGTGTTGATTTTGTCATTTCATGGGAGAACGGGGCATTGTAACCAGATCAGATTCTGTTTTAGTCCATCATTCAGACTATTCATACAATTTGGATTCCATTTGATATGAAGTGCTTCTGGTGACCTGAAATGCTTTTTCTTGATCATTTAAATATTGTGAAAATCAACTTTGTGACCTGATTCTATAGTGTGTAGACAGATCTATTGCTAATGATGCTTCAAGCTTTTCTAGTTCACTAACTGGATTTCTCGGTGGTCGAACAGAGTCGGGTCTACGGTGTTCGTTTCTACTGATTTTGATTACTAGTTGGCCAGGTTTGTTCGATGCCTATCGCATCACATTCCAAGCATGCATTTTATTTTATAGACAAAATTGGATAGATAATCTTTAGAGATTTGGTGTTTTATATGGAGAAGGCTGTTTCGCAGTGTGTCTGATGTTTTGAAGAAAACCATGATGTATTTTTATCGTTAGCAAATAGCCAAGTTGACAACGCAAAAATAAACCCATGCTGAGGAATGATGATTAAGCTACCGAATATATAAGCTGAGATTTCGTAAATTCTGGTTTAATAACACCACTATGATAAAGCTATTAGCAGCAGCATTAAATAGCGAAACGTCAGTAAAAACAACAATATCGTCTTGTTTTTCATTCATTCACTGGGCAATACAGAAAAAACCTTTATTATAATGAACTGGTTACTTATACTCTGTAAAATCATTTTTTTATTTTTTTATTTGTTGTTGTTGAGTGAACTAGACGCCATATTGTATCAAAAACTTAGAATTCCACATAAGTATTATAAGTACTATTTTGGAATGAAGCATAGTGGTTAGCATGCTCGCCGACCATGCACATGGTCCGAGGTTCGACCCTCGGTCGACGCACTGCTTTACCTCGCTAAGCCAGAAATAAAGCTGGTAAAGAGGGAAGTTTGGGCATGAGGCTAGCAACCTCATCCCATAAAAATAAACACCACTGCTACTGAAACTTCAAGCCTCTAGTTCGAAGCTGCCCTATTTTCCACTGAAAACGTAAAGGAATAAGAAAAGTAATCTAGTTTACGAAGGAAAGTCATAGGAGCATAAATTAGCAACGAGGTGAATACAGAATGGAGGTAATATGCATTCCTTTGGAAGCTTCATCACTTAGAGAGGCTAAGAAACAACACATTGTCTTCGTAAGTCAACAGAGCTAAGGGATAAAAAATAAAGTGGAGAGGAGAAATACACAATAAAATGGCTATGTATTTGATTTATGATGATTAGAAGTTGTGTTCAGGATAGGCATTTCGTTCTGTGTGGGACTCGGCTGCTGGATGTACCTGACGATGTTCCCATTGAGACCTGAATCCAACAGGCATTTTTAAAAATGCCAGAGCATATTATCCTTAAGACTACTTGGACATTATGGATCCCACTGTTAGTCACCATTCCCAGCCGTCGTTGTAGCGTCCGTTCTACGCATCGACATGTCAACAGAGACTAAACATTCTAGTTCAGTGTACTCAAACAGCCAGCGAGAAATACAAAATTATATATTTGTCTATAATAATCAAATGGTAAATCTTGATAGGTCTTAGCTATCTCAGTAATCCAGTTTGCATGAAAAGGAATCAGGTTGTGAGGTGAGGAGAAATTTTTCACAAAGGCATTTAAATAATAATATACTGTACTGTAAATATTCGAATGAGAAAAGTTAATATGATAAATTTATTTGATTGATGATAGCTAGCAGTAGAACTCAGGACACTCGTATCGCCCTATACGACACTTGTCATCCAGATGTATCTGTAATTCAGTTAATGGCGATGTTCACTTCTAGTTTTTAACTCTGCAGCTATCGTTTCAAAGGTGGCTAAAATATTGAGCATTGAGAACCACAACTTGTATAAATGTAACACTCTTCTGTTAACATACTGCCTCCAAGCAGTGAAGCTTCGACGATGCCTTTAAAGAATCGTTAGAAAAGTTTTTGTTAAATTAAAATATATATCGCTGTTCAGTGTTCAGTTGTTCAGAGTTTTTCCTATTAACCCCGAAATAAACTGCCGATTTATACAGCAATTTTCGCACATAAGAAATATAGTATATTTTTAATTTTATTATTGTTCTCTCCTACTCTACTTTGTCTTATTTTCTACTGTCCTCTTCAGCTGGGTCCACGATTGCTAATAATCTCTAATCTCCTCTCGTCACACGATATCCTCCATGTCACCCGCGCACTGATGACCCACTCGTCTCTTCCCATTGGGATTCTGTTCGACGAATGTCCTGCATTGTACTCGATATCATTCGACGGCCTCTTCAACCTATGCCCGATCCATCTCCATTTTCTCCTACATTTCGCTAAGCAATCGTCTCTTGGTTGGTTTGTTTCACCACAGAGTTTCTTCTTGCTAATTCTCTCTGGCTAGCCTGCCATTTGATCTTCAGTATGGAGCCGGCCAGCGAAGTTGACAGCTGTTGGTAAACATCTGTAACTTGTTGGGAATGCTTTTCTTGACGTGCAGTGCAAGTTTTCAGCCCGTATTGAAGAAGTGACTAACTTCTCATTTCGGTTGAAAATTCAAATCTTGTTCTTTATGTTATGACGCTAGATCTTTTGTCACGAGGTCACTGCTTAACTACTGACCAGTGCCCACTTAACTGGTAAAGCAGAACACGTGAGAATCAGCGGTAAAGCCAGGTTCCTTTATTATGACAAAAGTGACTGTATTTGTACAGAAAATTAGATAGACTGGAAATCAACCAATCCGGTTGAGAGTTGGGATTGTGCAAGCGTCCAATCATAAGCAAGAACAATTGCATGTCAACGACTTGTTAATAACGCGATAATAACTTGACTGAGACATGATAATGACCTGATAATTGCATGTGTTTTGCCTCTTCCTAACACTTTATGCTGGCTGAGTGAAACAGATGATCTCCAAATTGGTTTCAAGTTGCTGAAGGAGTATCTTGGCTCTCCGATTCAGGTTTGTCTCATCCGTTCAGACTGCCTGTCGTTAAAACAATGCTCCCTAGATAAGTGGAGGAGGTGACGTCTTTCAAGTTTGTACGGCTGATTGAAAAAAATTATAGAAGGGATTATAAAAATAGCGCTTGTACTCACTTGAAACACTGTTATCAACGACTGATAAAAACTGTCAAAATTAGATCTTGGCTTTTCTTCACGTGGAAAATTAAATCGACCACCGAACAATTGCATACCGAGTAGAGCAAATATTACAATGAATAAAAAGAGTAGAACTAACAAGCTAACTATTGACTTTAAACTAGCCAGCAGAGAACCGACTAAATTACGTAGACTACTCCAATATCTAAAAATAAATTAAAACAAAACAAAAAACAGGTGTGTATATAAGAGAGGGGAAAACAAAAAAGGGTTACAGAATACGAGTAACAAAATAAATCTGTCCAGTGTCCAGTCTATTTTTGATAAAACAACCACCATATCACTAGACTGAACCACTAACTACTAAATAGTCTGAACAGCCTTCATAGCTTCATACATTGTAAGTACACTTCACATCCTGATGTTTATTTTTGGTTTTCATCGACTGACTAGGCTTCGTGAAGGCTTTCACCAGTCCGAGTCAATTCGTCTCGTGGTAGTCCCCCACCTAGCTCTCCCTCTTTCTCCGAACTTGGGACCGGCTAGAAAACTAGCGAACAAGCAAACTGGGCAGTGTAGACGATGTGTATAATTGTTTGTGCATATGTTGCCCAGAGAGATAACAATGAGTTCAGCAAGGATATCTCTTCGGTTCACTGAGGATGGTAATGTATATAGTACTGGTCTTGCAATAGGCTAAGATGGGTGATGGGTTCTCTTAAAAAACAATGGGTGGATCATTATGTGAGTGCCGGAAAGATGTCTCACTGAACGATTAATTTCGTACCCAGCATCGTGGTAGACTTTTCACATTCTACTTGAAACACTACTTGAGACTCGTGTGGTAGTTGCCAACTGACGCTATCTCTGGTTTAGTAGCCGTGATATCCGGCAGATTATCGACCAAAAGATGTGTACACTGCTCAGAGGTTCGCTCCATTCTTCTTTATGCCTTTTAGGCGTGTTCACTGAAAGTCGAAGACATGAAAATGCAGGCTAGTTGTCTGTGATCTTAGGTGCCGGTGTTCTGTATCCGGTTTCAGGTTGTACGACAGGGTGACTAATATTGAGGTTAAACGTCCAGCGCTAGATAAGGGGGGAAAACCAGTCGACGAGGTTGTGAAGTTACACCGATTAAGATGGTTAGGACATGTATTAGGCATCCCTAGCTTAGTTATCGCCTTCCTTAACCCACAGTGTTAGCTGGCATAGGATCGGCTAGGTTGGAAAAGGGCTACTGGTGGTCAAACCAAAATGTGTCTTCATCAGTCAATGAAATCCGTAACATTTTATTTTAGCTAGCCAGCCACCTAGGAAGGTGTAGGCTTCTTTGCTGGTAGGGGTCTTCAGGATGGTAAGAACCAATGGTTGAAGACAACTGGTGAAATGGTTTAAAATCTTTCTCAATAATGGTGCAGATGCATTCACTCTTTGTGATTTGTCATATCCGATAAAACTCTGTTGCTTTTCCATATTACTAGTGTTTTGGTCCTACACTTCTATTTATTATCTCTCTTTTGAATGCCTCTTTATTCTCTTCAGTTGCTTTGTGTGCCACATGGAGAGTGGCTACCTGAATCGCTACCCATCTCTGCAAGTTTCTGTGTTGAGACAACTCAGTCATTCTGTTTTAATGCAGCCTTCAGGATGATGTCGGAATTCTTCATCACAAGTACTCTGGTGAGGACTTTTCAGTCTTCTCTGATGTAATGAAATGTTTTGCAAGTGAGACTGAAATTTAAGAAGTCAAAAAAGATAGCTAAAATCTCAAAGACATTATGATTTTGTTTACAGTCTGTACATTGTAATGTTTTGGCTAGTATGAAGTCTGCAGGCAAATTAGTCTTTTTGCAATAATAATAATAGCTTTATTTCTCTTTGTCCACCATCTGCACATAAAAGACTATTGGACAGTAGATATACAAACATTATTCAAAAGTGCCAGGACTCATTGCAGTACTCCCACCTTAAGGAAAATTGAAGAAAGATGTCTCATGGATGTCTTCCAAAAGAATGCATATCCATGGAATTTCATCAAAAGACACCTACCCTCAAGCCAACCTATCAAACCAAAAGCCCTCAAGGAAAGCACAAAGAAAATCGCCCTACCATATTTAAAGACACTTCAAACCTGTAGGAATTGACGTCGCACACAAACCAACAAAATCATTTCACTCAGTTCTATGTCAACCAAAAGACTCAACAACGAAAGAAGATAAAACCAACATCATTTACAAAATAAATTACCATGTCTGCGAAAAACACTACACTGGCCAAAGTGGACGTCCTCTTCGTCTTTGTATCAATGACCACAAACTAGCCGTCAAAAGACATGACATCTACTCCCTCATACTGCCTCACTACATACAGACAACCATGGACATCAGTTCGACTCGGACAACCAACGTTCAAATATTGGACAGAGGAAACACCAAGAATACTAGAGAATTTTTAGAAGCCCGCCTTGCATTCCAGTGAATCGTCAATCAACAGACACATCGACAGAGACAAAATTTACCAATCGATAAGAACGGAATCTCACACACAAAGGGTCAAAGTTCAAGTCAAAGAAACAATCAGTTCCAATACCACAAGTAGCCTAGAAGATGTGAAAACACACAAAATCAACCAATCACGCCCAAGGTCACCAGGAGAGATGATTAATAAACTCATGGAGAAATCTAAAAGATCACTTCATCAAAGTGAAGTATGCGCTGAAGATGTCACCTAGTAGGGTGATGAAAGCTTCGCAAATTAACTATCCAGCTCAGAGAACACAACTACATCAAAAACAGTAGATAGTGTGACACAGCTCTGCCTGACCTGAAACGCAAGCCAATTCACTATGATACATCTCTTTGTGTTCTTCTTCGAGAAAAACACGAAATTTTGTTAACGAATAGCAATTAGAAAAAGTTCAAGAGTACATTTTGTGAATCAGTGACACCATTCAGGGACAATGATCTCATGTATTTGGATAAGCCACCATCGAGGATAGAGCTTTTTCTCATTTTTAACATAAACTTGAGAATCAGCAGGTTGTAAATGTTTTAAATTCGGTCAGTCGGTTTTCGACGTAGAACTTTGCACCAGATGTGCGGCAGTTCAAGTCACCACACTCCCTTCTTGTAGCACACAAGGCAAGAGAAGAAAGTAGGAAAAAGGCATAATATAGACAGTAAACAGAGGTGTGAGACAAAGGTATACTAATAACGAAGAACAAAACAGTTTCATTGGAAATCATAAGTCACAAGGAGTGGATGCATCTGCACAAGCCATTGAGAACGATTTTGAGCCATGTCACCGATTGTTTCCAACCATTGGTTTTTACCGTCCCGAGGACCCCAACAAGACAGGAAGTCTACACTTTCCTACGTGGCTTAGACTAACTGTTGTAGATTTCGTTGACTGATGAAGCCATGTTTTGGTTTGACCACCACTGGCTCTTTTCCAGTCTGACTCTATATCAGCTAACATTAACCGTCGAGGAAAGTGATGACTAGGCATACGTAACACATGTCCTAACCATATCAGTCGATGTAATTTCACAGTCTCGTCGACTGATTTCCCCTCCTTACCTAGCACTCGACCGAAGCCTAACCTCAATATTGCTCACCTTATTATACCACTTCACACGGGAGATAGAACGCAGACACCTATGATCGAAGACAGCTAGTCTTTTCAAGTCTTCCGCTCTCAATGTTTTAAATACCCGCCAGAGTAAACGACACTATTTGAGATCATAGCTTACTAACTAGATTTAGACAAATTGAATAAGGGAAATTATATGTAATGTATATATATTGTTGGAGGTTTATCAGAAGCCCAGTTTTAAGCAGGCCTCCATAAACCTGTTGACTTTAGTACTCTACGGAAATGCATTGATTATTTCAACATTCTACTACTACTACTACCAAATTAGCTGAAAACAACACTTGGTACACGTTCTTTTCATCATCATCATCATCAACAACAACAGCAGCAGAAACAAATGCGGACGGAAATCACTTGTATGTCTATTATCCACTTGATAATTCAACATCGTCAATCCCATAAAAAAAACACAACAACAACAACACCAAAGCCCCAATAATGATTGCAGTAAAATTAAAACAAAAAGTTTTACAGATTCCTTGTCAAATTAGTAGGGAAATGTACCAATGTAGCAATGTAGCAATTTCCTGTTCTACGCACGAAATGCCAGCATTAATTTGTAAGTGAGGAGTTTTAGCGTGTGTGTGTTTTCTTTTTTGAAGGAGAAAAAGAAATGAAAGTATTTATCAATGGCACAGTATCAGACACACGCACAAACGCACACGCGCACACGGAAACACATACACACGCACACACGCAGATCAGTCTTTATTGATAGTACTACTAACAGAGGGAATGGAGAGGAAAAAAAACAGGTAGCAGCTAGCAAATAAGACAGGAAGGAATTCCCATCAAAACAACATCTGATATATATATTTTTAATATTGGATAATTAGTCTCTGTTCACTCTGTAGGATGTACTAAGAAGAAAGACATTGTAAAATAGACTTGTAAATTACAAGGAGACAACAGATATATATTCTGCAATGCCAAGCAATCTTCGTATGTTTGGCATGCGATTCGTCCCTGTAAAATTTAAGATGCTGCTACAGGGATGACTGGACTACGTCAACTCCTAGCTTAGTGATAGGGAGTGAAGTGATAGAAGTGATGTTGACCACTTCACCTATTTGGGAAGTTGTATCAGCACCAACGGATTGACTGGTGACGAAATCTCAGCACGGATCCAAAAAGCTCGAGATGCTTTCGCTAACTTACACCGTCTCTGGCTTAGGCGTGACATCCGGCTATCAACCAAGGGACGTGTGTACTACTGCTCAGCAGTTCGCTCCGTCCTTCTCCTCTATGGCTCTGAAACATGGCCAATACGAGTTGAAGACATGAAAAGGTTGACTGTTTTTGATCATAGATGTTTACGATCTCTTACTCACGTTAGGTGGTATAATAAGGTAAGTAATGTTGACGTTAGGCGTAGAGTGTTGGGCAAAGAGGGAAAATCAATCGACGAGGCTATAAAGTCACATAGATTGAGATGGCTAGGTCATGTGCTGCGCATGCCTAACCATCGTCTCCCCCGACGGGCATTACTAGCTGATATAGGTGCAGGTTGGAAAAGAGTAAGTGGTGGCCAAACAAAAACACGGCCTCATC